CAATTTCTCAATAATTATCAAGATCATTGTATATTAATTACTAAAATTCGGTTTACCGAATAGTGGTCTTCAATAATTTTTTTCTCAAATACTATCATTATTACAGAAAAACTGCAAGAAACAAAAAAATTGTTTATTTTCTTCTCATAGAACACTAGAATTTTTTATCAACTTTTCGGTACTGCATTTTCTAATTGGCAACTATTTTTACCAACATGAGAAAATACGGTATTTAAAAATTTCTGAAAAAAATTCTCAGAACTTTATGGCCGGTATTCATAGTCGATTCTTATTTCAAGACCGTTTTATAAGTAATGTTTTAAGATGCTAATGCAGCCCTCTGATTGGTTCGTGACTTCTTAAGACCGTACTCAAGACAAGACGGTCTTGAATATAAGATCTGACTATGAATACCGACCTATGAGAAGAAAATAAACCATTTCTGTCTCTCGCTTTTTTTTTGTAAAGTTTATAGTATTTGAGCAATAAATGATTGAAAACCATAATATTCAGAGATTTTTATAGTAATTATAATATCTTGACAATTGCGAAAATTGTAAAATAGTAAAGGACTTTTCGACTCAGTTTAGTCAGCTCTATATATCTACACACAAGCGCTTTGTCAAAAAGCAGGGAATGGAAGTAACTCGTTACTTGTAACGAAGTTACAGTTACAAGTTACTTTTTTAAGTCATCTTACTAGACGCTCTGTATATATATATATGTATAAATATAATTAAATATATATGTACAGAATGTCAGCATTTAAAATTGTGAAAGTATATTTTGTATGTTACAACTCAGATAGTACAAAAAGTTCAAAAAGAATTCAGTGATATGTCATCAATTATTTTGAGTTTATTTTCAGATGCAAAAAGAATTCTTTTTCTGAAAAGTTCTGAAAAGAATTCTTGTTGCATCTGAAAATAAGCTCAGAATTGACGACATATCACTGAATTCTTTTTGAACTCTTTTGAATTTTCTGTGCTATATGTGAAATGAAATGTTAGGGGCTCCGCACAATCAAGAAATAGGAACAGAGAATTGGAATAGAGAATAAGAATCTCAACCTATCAGAAACTGTGTACATTCTATAGTACATGGTTTCTAATTGAAATTTTTATTCTCTATTTCTATTCTTTGATTGTGCGGAGTTTCTTATCTTAGAACATATATAAATGGAAGGGGCATTGCCTATACTTCCCATGGCTCGCGCTGATGCAAAAATCTGTGCGAGAGAGAAAGGGATAAATGTTCTCAATGCGCATGCGCAGCATCACTTTTTACACACTGTGTAATGTACGAATGTGTAAGAAACACTAAACCAACTGCACAATTCACACAGATGACGGTGTTGCAATTACTGTCAGATTTCAATGCGTGAATCTGATTGGTACAACGTAACGTCTTACGTTTTCTATGTGTCATGGACTATATGCTTACGGCTTACGGCTTACGCGTTACGGCCTTACGTTTTTCTATGTGCCATGGGCTTTATCCCTTACTACCTTTCTCTCTCGCACAGATGTTGGCTTCACGTTCAGCGCCCTATTCTCCTTCCATTTATGTATATTCTAAGCTTCTTAAGGCCCGTCTACAATACACGGAGTAAGAAGTAAGAGTAAGAAATTGATCAATCACAATCGATTATTCTTCTCACATTCGACTGTGATTGGTCAATTTCTTACTCCAATTCTAAGCTTCTTAAGGCCCGTCTACAACACACGGAGTAAGAAGTAAGAGTAAGAAATTGACCAATCACAGTCGATTATTCTTCTCACATTCGACTGTGATTGGTCAATTTCTTACTCTTACTTCTTACTCCGTGTATTGTAGACGACGCAAAACATATATATTGACAGCTCTGATGCCATATTAGACTGAGAAATAGTAAAAGATTTCAATTAAAACAATTTTTTTTTTATTTTCGGCATAAACTCCACCTCACAGATACGTATTAATGCGTATACTTTAATCTTGAAAAAGATTTTCGAATCTGTAAAAGAAGAAAAAGTAATTGTTCTACAAAAATTCTTGCGTTTAATCGATAAAAAGGACGGTTTTAGCAGTTAGATATCAATATAAGCTAGCTTATAACTGATTTGCAGATTTAAAAAAGGTACTTTTAATAGGTTGGTATTCTCATAACAGGATAGTTTAATTACTATGTTCATATTATACTTATAAAAATACACATCAGAAAATTCTATCTAAAGTCAATGACAAATAACGGGCAGTTTTAATTCTCTCTCTGTAAAAAATTATATAAATAAAATTCTATTAAATTCAAATGTAAAACCCAAGTATTACTATAATTTTTAATTTTTATATAATGAAACCTATATAAGTATATATTCCTATTAAAGGATCTTTCTATTCTCATCTATAAATATAGCTTTAAAAATTGAATAAAAAAAGGGCATTTAGGAGTCGGGCGCAGAAATCGATGCGCAAAGTAAAATATAATTAAAAAAAAAATTTTGTATGTACAATGTACATATATGTATATAAATGTATCTCGCGCTATCTTATTATATATGTTTCGGCTCATTTAATTTTGAGCCTCCTTCGGAATAAAATTGAAAAAAATATCTGACTCTAATATCATTACTTTAAATTTATCAAGTTTGTAATATTACGGTTTGTCTAATGATAAGCAAATATTTAAAAAAATACAATTTTGTTTCCATGAATTTTGTCCAATAAGTAATTTTAATAATACAATTTGACGTATGCGTCTATTTAAAACTCTACGTAGCCTTGCCAAGCGAATTATTAAGGGTCCTCTACATAGAAGTCGTAGACGGTCGTGGACTCTTAAGTCATAGGAAACTGACCAATTCCAATCGAGTATTCTCCTTATATTTGATTGTGGTTGGTTGGTTTCCTACGACTTAAGACTCCACGACCATCTACGACTTCTATGTAGAGGACCCTTTAACGTACTTCGATCTATAATGTAGTTGATAGAGTATATTTTAGATAATTCTCCTAGTGGTCTTTATATTTTTTGTTGCGACATTTATCGTTATATTCTTGATATTTTATTTTTATCAGTTTATTCATATAAATATATTAAAGAGCACGAGCGTAGCATGGTGGACAGCACGCGAGTCTACTATGCTAGGGGACTCGGATTCGATCCCCTGCAAATCCAAGATATTTTTCACGCCCTCGTAATTTTTCTTCTGGTTTGGCAAACCACCAAGAGTATCTATTGCCAAGAAAATGGAAGGACGACCGCGCAGTTAGATAGTGTCTCCACGAAATATATATATATATATACATACCGATCATAAACAAAATCTGACTTTGCAATACCAAAACTATTTTCAATCTATTATTATTCTCTAGTCAGCGTTTGTCTGTCGTGACAGTTACATATATTTTTATCTCGAGACGTATTTTAAATATATATACTTGTATATAATTTTAATTTTATACACTATTAATTTTATATCATGATCAACTTATTTCTTCACGACATTGACCGTGATATCGCTATTTACTTGTTGACTACTGCACTTTCTTATTATAAACTATCACACCGACTTTTAATATAAATTAACGAACATCTTCTCGACATGCGAAACGTAACTATATGGTCAATTCGGTGAGTTTTTTTTACCAGAGTAACGTATTTGCTTGTTTTTCATCACCGTGCAATCCATTTAATTTATTTCTAATTTGACTTTTTATCAGAACATCGGCAAATTTTAAACAACTG